GTGCTTGAACACCATGTCGACGAACAGACGTGCCGTCTGTACGGAGGTCACCTCCGCTGCGACAGCAGCGAGATGCACCATCTTGCTGAAGCGGTCCACAAAGAACACAATACCAGTCTTCCGCCTGGAATCGCGCGGAAGATCAAACACGAAGTCCATCGAAACGGACTCCCAACACTCCGACGGAGTCGGCAGTGGTTGTAGAAGAGCCTGCGAGTGAGACGCAGGCTTCACTCGCTGGTAAACATCGTAAGTACGTACGTACTTGCGCACCCACTGGTACTGGTGGTTCCAGTAGAAGTCTCGCGTGAGAAGAGAGTACGTCTTCTCACGTCATAGATGTCCCGCCGTGGGGACATTGTGATACTCGTACATGATCCTGCTGCGCAGGTCAGGTTCATTTGGCACGACAATGCGTTCCGCATTGTCGTTTACAGCGCTGTAAAGCAGTAGACCGTCGTGCACACGATACCGGTGTGCACTCGCTCGTAGACGAGGGGCCAACTTCCGACGTGGTTTGTTGGAAGGAGCTGAGTGGAACTCGATCAGCTGCTTCGCGTCTGCGTCATGCGCATACGCGGCCTTCACCTCGTCCAACAAGGGCGACGACGGCGTGTATGTCCGAGCGACATCAATCCGGTTGACGTCGGCTATCTTGACATCGTAATCCGGTCGTCGCGACAATGCGTCCGCGACGACATTCAACCTTCCGGGTTTGTACTCGACCCGAACGTTGTACTCCGCGAAGAAGGACAACCATCTCGCCATTCGTTGCGAGATGTGCGGGGACTTCACAGCCGTTCGCAACGACGCGTGGTCCGTATAGACCACGAACGGCGTGTTGCTGAGTAAATACACTCGGAACTTCGCGAGTGCATACTTCATGGCAAGGATTTTCTTGTCATGTACTGGGTAGTTCCGCTCAGCTGGCTTCAGCTGACGTGACTGGTAATAGACGGCTCGATCACGGCCCTCGTGATCGAGTTGCATTAATGCACATCCGATCGCAAAGTCGGATGCGTCACGTACTACGTGGAAGGGACGATCTTGATCGGCCACCGCCAAGATCGGCGCTTCAGTCAAGCCCAGCTTGACTGCATCGAATGCTTGCTGACACTTAGCAGTCCATGTCCACGCAGCTTCCTTCTTCAGGAGCTGCGACAGCGGGCGAATGCGTAGTTGTCCACGTACTTGCACAAGTACGTGGCAAGGCCAAGAAACTGCCGCAGTTCCTTCACGTTGGATGGCGTAGGCCATTCCTTGATCACTCTGACCTTCTCGGGGTCAGGGCGTACACCATTCTTCCCAACGAGACACCCTAGCACGGGTATCTCGCTCGCACCGAAGATGCACTTCTTCAGGTTCGCATAGAGCTTGTGCTTGCGCATGAGCCCAAGCAGTTCTTGGAGACGTTCCTTGTTCATCTCGACGTCCGTCTTCTCGTTCACAGCTCGGCTGTGGACGTACACATCGTCGAAGTAGCTCGGTGCGAAGTCGCGCACCGAACGCAATAGATGCATGACGCATCTATTGAATGTCGCAGAGGCGTTATTCAGTCCTTGCGGCATAACTAGCCACTCCCAAAGCATACCGCTTGGAGTGCTTACCGCCGTGAGAGGGAT